GCCAGGGGGGGGGTAGGGGTGGGGGGGGGGCGGGCAGAGGAGCACAGCTGGGTGAGAGGCAAGACCAGGAAGGGTGTGGCAGGTAGTTCCTGGCCAAGAGGTGGTGCTTTCTGAGGAAACGCATGTTTGTTCTGCAAATGATGCCCGTGGGCAGGCACTCAGGACTGCAGGGGTCACGCATGGAGGTCCCGGAGCACGAGAACGCGGGTCCTGCTGACAGTGCGCTCACCTGCTGTAGACGTGGCTGGCGGAGCTATTCCCCCGGCCACCAGTGCCATCCCCAAAGTCCCAGCGGTAAGCCACATCGGTGCCGAAGGTGACTCTGCACTGGAAGGTCACGGGAGCGTTCACCAGAGCCGAGTCCGCGGCCACGAGTCCGCTGGCCACCACTCTCCTCTGCACCTGGACACGGCGGGGCTCCGAGGCCACGCTGCCCATTCCATTGGAAGCCTGCACCACCACGCGGTACCTGCGGGGGGACAGGAGGGTCAGGTGGTGACCAGCGCCAGGTCAGAGAGAGAGAGAGAGAGAGAGAGCGACAGGAGGGTCAGGTGGTGACCAGCGCTAGGTCAGAGAGAGAGAGAGAGAGAGAAACTCCACTGTTCTCCCAAGAAAGGCGGGAGCTCGTGGTCATCTTCAGGAATGATGGGAGCGCCTGGTGGTGGCACCTCACTGGGCAGAGGGGTGACACCTTGGCCTCCCTCTTGATCATGGAGACACCAGTCACGGCCATGGAGAGACTGCCGCCATCCTTACAGGAGGAACACGCTGAGGCTGCATGGGGCGGAACGGCACCTGCACCTGGACTGCCTGGTTCAAGGCCCCACCCTCCGCTGCGGCCTTCAGATCTGCGTGTGTGACCAAACCACAGGCAGCACTCCGAGTGAGGGGGACACGACCTCATGTCAGCGCCAGCTTGGCCTCTGCAGGCTGCGCTGCGCCTGCCACAGCTGCCCGTGGTGAGGACCACTACGAACCACTGGGGGACACTGAGCCTTCTCTGGATGCTCCTGCGCCTGGTCCTCACGGGCAGGTCTTCTCCGAAGAACCACGTGAACTCCAGGGGAGTGGCTTCCTTGGTAACGGCTACAAAAGTGATGTCGGCGTCAGTGGCAAACACAGTTCCATTGGTGTAGACAGAGACGGCTGTGACAGAGGGTGTAAGGGGGTCCCTCAGCGGGAGGGCTGGGATCTGCCAGGGAAGTCACGTCCCCACCTTCCCGCGTGGCCACGGGCATCTGGACGCCTGACTGTACACGGAGCAGTGGTGGGCACCTGGGGGCACTGGGCCCGAGCTCATCAGGGGCCCCGGCCCCTCTGCTGACTCTGCATGGAACCGCCCACCTCAGGCCTCCAGGTCTGCGGTTCATGGCGAGCGGGGCCTCGGCAGAGCGAACCACAGACCTGGTGCTGCCATGGCCTTCACCTCAACTGACTGCAAAGGGTTCATTAGACCTGGAGTTAGAATAGAAACGTACGCTGCATCCGATATCGCACGGCCATGCTGGACCAGGCCTGCCTGCCCGCCACGTGGGTCTGCAAGGCGAAGGACACGTTACAGGAGGAAGTGGGTGGAAAACGGTGGGAAACAGTGGTGCCTGGAAGGAAAGTGAAAGGCAGAGGGAGACCGTCTCAGAGCTGCTTCCCTTGTCACACATGCCCATAGTTCCCATTCCTCCATCTTCTCTCCTTCAATTCCAATACATTCAAAATTCAAAGTTTGTGTTTTGGAAACAGGCCTGGGAAACATGTAC